CTGAAATCGACATGAAATTCCAACAGAACCGTACAAAAACCCGCCAAATTCAGCAGAGAAGTAAAAACAGAACAAGTAATTCGGAAAATACTAAATCCCAAAACTTGTATTGAAATGAGAAGTGAACAAGTTAGAAGAAAGAGCTGCGGAACCCTAAAAGAGCAGAAATTCTGGAGGTCGGACGGAAAACCACCTGAACCAACACAATTCCGCAAGAATTAAGCACAAGAGAATCAAAACGTACCAGCATTGGCGGATCGCGTAAGAGATCGCGAATTAGGAGAGAGAAAGAGGGGTTCGTTTAGAGAGAGAAAGTAGTGGGATGAAGTAAGAGAGAGAAAGCGGTGCCCTCGTGGAGATTCCGGAGGGACGGAGAGGGACGGAGGACTATGGGGGACCCGCAAAAATTTAGGGGAGGGCGGGGATAGAAATAGAAGAGCTAAAATCAGGGCCCTTTATTACCTTTTTTATTTTTATTTCTGGGTAATTCTGGCCGTTGATTGACAAATTGCCTCTTTTTTATTGGGTCTTTTGGAATATTCTTCATCTATTTTTCTAAATTTGTTTTTTTTTCCCCCAATATTTTGTTCTTTGTTTTGTGCTTCTTTTTTCCTAAACTATACGACATCCCCCTTTTTTTTTTTCTCAAGAAAATGATGTCCTATAAGTTAGGGGTCATGAGAATTTGAGGGGTTTAATTGGAGTTTCCTGGTTCAATTTATGAGAAATATGGTGCAAAAATATGAAAAATGTGAGGGAGTTTGACTATAGAGAAAATTATTTTTCATTTCAAATAACACATTAAAAGTACAATTTAAATATCATAATTATTAAAGTATCATTAATAAATTAACATATGAAAAACATATTTAATAATATTTTGATAAATTCATAACTCAAACAACACTTTAAAAACATATTTTTGTTTAGCATATATGTACCAGTGCAATAAAATTATATACACCAATGCACTTTCTTTTTTTTTCACATTTCATTGCTTGTAATAAAATCCCAGACTCGGCATTTTGATTAGAGTTTCTTATTCTTTCTAATTCAAGAAATACAGAGCTCTTCGTAAAGGAAATAGATTCATTGGTTTACAACTGAAAATTAGAGAGAAAATATTTGGAAGTGAGGAAAATTATTCATTTATTTTTTTAAGGGGCAAAATCCCAATTGGAAAAAAGAGCAAAGCTAAATCACAAATTTGCAACTGCTCAAGAGTCACACATGAGATCTAAAAGTATCATTTGAAGGGGCGGAATCAGGCTTGTGGAATGTTGAGATATCCTAGTGTCCTTCAAAGAGAAGATAACTAGAGCAGAGAAATGTGGGGCAATATAAGCTACTTAGGAAGTCCGGTTTTAGGGTCAATAAGAGCCAAGCTTTCATCAGAGAGCAGAACAGGGCCTTTCCCAGGTTTTGTACAGATGAAGTAACTGACATCCCCTGGATACTTCTGGGCTTGAACGTTATCCTTCACTTCAGGAGGTGGTAACAGAGCCTGAACATCCTTCATTCTCTCAATCCCGGCTTCTTTTAGTATAGACTTATCACCAATAACATAGCTGAAGAAAAGGAAAATAAAGGAAATAAATAAAATAAATCAAGGCACTGTCACAGAATTTATTTTTGGATGGAGTAAGGGGTCACCATAGTCTCAATCCATTCATATCTATAAGGTATAATCTTATATTGTGCCCTTAACAACTGTACAATTTACCTGTTAAGATCAGTATCAGGGTTTGGAGGGAAGTGGAAAAGAAGTCTCTGAAGCAACTGCATAGCAGTCTTTCTATCTCGTGCAATTAGAACTGCATTTGGCCCAGCATCAAAAGTATATGCCACCTGTCAGTTTTTTATCATTAGTCAGCTACATGAGTAATTAGCATAAACGGTTCAGTGTAAGTATTTTAATTTTTTTGGCCAATATGCATATATTTTAATTATTCAAGTAGAAAGTTGTATGATTGCATTGCACCACTGAAATTCTTTTTAAGTGATTCAGTGAAAATCTATGAATGCAACTCTTTTGTGGCGTTATTTAGTGTTTCAACATCAAAATTTATGTAATCCTTATTCCACTACCCCGGGCAAATCAACCAGATCATCCTCCCAGCACATTACTACTAACTGACAACGTATTCTTAATAGGGTTTTTCTAATACATGCTCTTAGGGCATAGGTTAAGGGTGTAATAAATACATATTTTTGTCATAAATTTGCATTGAAAAGCAAAAGTTAACTTTTAATTTATTAACTGCCCAATTAAATTTACCCACCTAGCAACAATACTAAAATTAATGTTAGCATTTACATTTTGCTATATACATTTATGATAAAAAGGTGCTCTTAACCTGTGTCTTGAGGGCACAGGTTAGAAAAACCCTTCTTAATATAGTGTAGTCCTAACATGATGAATAGTTCTACCATTGTAAAAGATCAGAAAAGTCAACAACTTTCAACGTAGAAAGAAACAAGCCAACCTGTGGAGATCCTTCAGTACGATTCCACTTCTCAACACAGCTGATTATCCTGAAGTAAGATCCACCTGGTCATGCTACCTCTCCAGTCCAAGAATGAAACAATTTGAACTAATAAGAAAATGAACATGAGGACTTACCTGTGGGATGTATCATTCATATAGAATATGGGAGGAGATGTATCCAAGCAGACTGCATGAAATTGATTACTATCAGCACAGGTCAATTGTGCAAAAGATGCAAAATCCCAATTTTTGATGGCTTCTTCCATTTGTACTATGCGTTTTGGCACAATTTCCTATTGCAATTCAGAACAAAGATGTGAATAACATGATTTAGTATTACCTCGGACAAGCTTAGAAAGCATAGTAGATTACAAAATCCGAAGACACAATGGAAAAATCTTTCCATAACTCTAGTATGAAAAAGACTTAAAATGCAAAAAATCTGCAAAAATATTTAGACAGAATGACCAAAATGTACCTCTGCCCTATGTTTTAAAAGCAAACTTGTCTCAACACTCTCACGCATTCCCGTGGTGCTACTTGTCTCCTTCTGCCGTGAACTTACCTGGAACCAATAAAAAGGATTGAGACTAGAATAATTATGGTAAACACAGAATCAAACTATTTAAAGATGCTTTTGAGGTTGAGGTATTGAACATTTTGAGACAAGCCTTCTGGACTTAAATACATTATAATCAGGGATGCATTAGAGCATGTAACATTTGATGATTGCTTAATTAGTGCTAAAAATTGACCCAAATTAAATTTTTGGTGGACAGGAAGAGGAAGATAAAAAAAGTCTGATAAATAAGTACCACAGCAATAATAATAACAAGATCATTCCAATGCTTCTCATCTACAAGTTGAACTGCATGACTGTCGCTTCCATCCTCTTCCTTCATAAATTATTGGGGGATGGTACACTGTCAGAATTTGCAAAAGGAAAATTAAACTTCCCAATGGAAGACAGTAAAGATGAATCTTACTTTTCCCATTATCCACTTGACAAATCCACCAAATAGACTACGGCAAGCACTGCCTGAACCTTGTCTGTACAAAGAAACAAAATGTTATAAATTTCACTGCCAACAGTAATTAGGTTAGCATATTGTAGTTTGTTATAAAATAAGAAAATCATAATCACATGTCCCCTGTAGGAAGGAAACTTCTGCAAGCAACGTAGCAGCAGCTTTATATGATTAACGTGCAAAAAATTATAAGCACAAACATGGGCAACTAGTAGGTTTTTTTTTTTTTTTTTTAATAAAAACTATAATCAACTGGTAAACCAATACCTAGCTATAGCTGAAAGCTTGCTCAGATCTTCTTTCACGTTCATCAGCTTTGCAAGGGCAAAAACTGCATTGAAAAAAGGAAAATGAGGAAAAAAAAAAAACCAAACCTGAAAGGCATAAACACATAACAATTAACTAAAGCTCCTATTAAAAAAGTAAAATAACTCACTCATTTTTTTTTTTTGTAGCATTTTATTGAGATAATATAATTTTAAGTGTTCAAAAGTTTTTAAAATTTCTAAGTAAATTAACTGTAAAGTTATATAAAAAAATGAAAGATTATAGAAAAATAAAACTCAGGTGAATAACTTTTTCTCTAATTTGAAAAAAAAAAAAGAAGAAGAAGTGTATACCAAGAAAAATAGACCACCTGTTGAAACCTTTTTCCCGTTTGGAATGACTGAAATAAATGACCGTTATACTTAAAAGATATTTTTGCACTTTATTAATGAGAGAAAAAGATTATTAATTGAAGTTAATAAAAAACAATAGAATTAAAAGAGAGAAAAAAAATATTTATTATGTAATTCATAACAATGAACCATTAGATCAAAAAAGGCATAAATACATAACAACTAACTAAACCATGAAACTACAAATGGAACGGTATTTTACCAAGACATGCAAAACCAGCAGCGGAAGAAGCCAATCCAGCAGCAGTAGGGAAATTGTTGTAAGAGGCTATATGCACATGCAGTTTCTCCCAATCTTTCTTCTCTATCTTGATACCTTTCTGTTTATCCTGAACATCACCAGCACGACTTCGAATTTCCCTTAAACAATTCTGGTACCTTCCTCCAGAAAGAGAGATTTCCTACACTAACCAGCAATCACCCAAAAAAAAAAAAAAAGCGCCATATCTCAGTATAACACAAGAAATATAAGACTCTGCTAGAAAGCAGAGGTGAGGAGAAAGAATTTTCTGATATCACTTTACAAAAGTGACCATTTTTAGAGTCCAAAAAATGATCTAATAACTAATCAGTGTCCAAACAGCCTAAAACAAGCTACTTTGTATGTGACCCACAAATTGGTACAGAAATCAATCTTACTACGCACAGCTGATAAAAAATAGACCCATTCAAAACAGGTTTGAAACCCACGTCCTAAACATTGAAAAGAGCAAAATACCTTCCCATTGAGCCACATACGATCTTGCTGGAAGGCGGGGCTGACGGCCACAGTAGTGGTGGTGCAGAGGTGGGTGGGATCCAGTGTGACGCTGATGCTGCTATTAACCGGCAAGATCAGGGTCTCGTCCCTCTTCCCCCAATACTTAATCACCGCTATGTTGGTGGGCGTCTGCGCCGTGGTCGTCAATACCCAGTTCTCAGCCATTTGCGACAGTCAGATCTCAGTCCAATTTAGATGGGTAGAAAAACTGGCAGCTCCACTTGCTTAAATACAATGCCAAGAGAGCTCGGACTTAGCGAAAACAAATGGAGGAATATGAATGTAAAAGAAAAGTGGGTCCCAACAGTGGTTGTCAGAGCTCTGAATTTGCTGATTCGCCGGACTGTTTGAACCCACAATGAGGGGCGTCATCGTTGTCGTCGCCGTTTTGGTTAAAACACCCTTTTCGTATTCCTACCAAATGAAAATTATGGTGGTAATTAAAAAAAAAAAACCTATTTTTAAAATGGTGATCTTTAGGTATAAGAATGGGTCTTGATATTAGATTTGTTTTTATTCAAGAGTTTTGATTTTATAATTTAAAAATAATTTAATTATTAATATAATTTCTTCGATGATATTTTATTGAGGTAATATAATTTAAGGTGTTCAAAAGTTTTTAAAAATTCTGAATACATTAATGTAAAGTTATATGAAAAGAAAAGAAAGATTTTTAGAAAAATAGAACCCAGGTGGAATGGCTCGTTTTGTCCAGTGGCATTAAATTTTGAGTTAAAACTATTTATTTACGTGGATAGCATGTTCGAATTATATGGAACTCATTTCTCCCCCTCTCATGTATGCCTATAAATAATACCAAAATTACTAAAAAAAAAAAATAGAACTCAGGTTACTATCTTTTTCTCTAATTTGACAAAAAAAAAAAAAAAGAAACTGTATGCTCAGAAAAATAGGCCACTTTGTTGAAGCCTTTTTTCCCGTTTGGAATGACTGAAATAAATGACGGTCGTACTTAAAAGATATTTTTGCACCTTATTAACGAGAGATAGAGATTATTAATTAAACTTAACAAATAATAATAAAATTAAAAAATATATTTACTTATCTTTAAAGAAAAATAACAAATTTTGAATAAAAAAATGAAGGGAGTGCAATAGATTGGGATTTTTTCTCGTAAAAAATATTTTGCGTATGCTTTCACTTGTCCCATGCCTTTGTACCTGTCACGCACATCACCCGAACTAAAAGTAGTACATTTTTGGTTTTTTTTTTTTTTTTGATAAAAAGTACATTTTTGGTTTGTTTTTGCACATAAATGTGGTTGTTTTTTCCTTTGGTGAATGGGAGAATAGGACATAAATGTGGTTGTTGAAGTGTGGATTTGAGCATTTACTCTGTTGGCATATGCAGCAGTCAAACCACATAGTGCTACTAGTTATCTGGTCAAATAAGGGCAGCTATGACTATGACTATGAGCTAGCCCTCCAACTTGGGCAATAACTAGTTCTTTTGATGCTTTTGGGCAATAACTAGTTGATGCTCCATGCAAATGCAAAAGTCATCTTTTTCTGTTAACATGTGACGACAAAAGTTGTTACTGACTTTCCACCATAAAAAAAAATAAATAATAAATAATAATAAAAAAAAAAGAGGAAGAAGAAGTTGCTCTTGATGAAATGAAATGGCATGTAGGGATGGTAATTTTCTTCCATCCTCGTCACGGGAACGGGGTAAGGAGGAATATATCTTCTCGTGAGGTGAGGATGAGGAGCATTTTCCTCTCATAAAATTTTGCGAGAAATTTTTTCGCTCTGTGGAGCCCCACGAGGATCCCCATTCTCGCAAAAATTAAAATAAATATAACTTAATTTTATTTTAAATTTAATTCATCTTTCAAACTCAAATCCAAATCCAAACCCAAACCCAAACACAAACCTAAACTCAAGTTCAAAGTCAATTCAATCAAAATTAAATTTAACCTAAATTTACCTAATCCAACCCAATCCAACCCAACCCAATCCATAAAAATTAACCCAATTCATTTCCCTACTTACATTTAACCTTAACCCTAATTCATTTCTCAATTTTCATTTTCACCTTCCCCTCCATTGTTGGTTTAATTTTTGTTTATGTTTTAGTTTCGCTTGGATTAATCTTTATTTATGTTTGGAACAAATTTGTTAATTGTTGGTTTAGTTATCTATGTTGAATTGATTTTTATTTATATTTAGACAATTTATATTTGATTTTATAGTTAAAAATTTTAGTTAATTGTATTTGAATTTTTAAAATTTTATTTATTATAATTCAATATTAGTTAATTATATGTAAAAAACAAAAAAACTTATAATTTAATATTAATTGGTGGGGAATGAGAATCCCCACGGAAAACGAGAACAAAAGCAAAATCTACCTCCCATCAAAAATCCCCGCGGGAACTAGGAGGGACTTCCCGCCCCACGGACCCCGTTGACATCCCTAATGGCATCTCATACCTTGAATGTAAATCAAAATTTGGCAATTATGACTTCACTGGCTTTGATAAAAAAACATATTCAAGTCTTACCAGAACTTTCAACTTGATACCTAGTCAGAATCAGAATCTGGATCTGCATCAACAATATCAGGGAATGATCCCGTAGATGAGTCACTATCCCAAGGATCTTTACCTTCTCAGTCCTTGGTATGACCGAGGGAGTATTTCCACTGATGTTAGCAACTCCCTCGACTTTATCTTGCAATACATTCACTCCAGATACCACCTCATGTCGGCCCAAAGCAGCTCTTCCCAACTCTGTTTCAGTGCCTTGACCTTGAGAATCTACAGTAACTTCATGACTCATGGTACTTCTGATAGAAACAAACTGTTCTGTGCCTTGAGGATCTTCAGTAACCTCATTAGTTGTGGCAATTTTGGTAGAAAGAACTTCCTGGAACTGAACTGATTCTTGGAACTGACAGGATTCCACCATAATTTGGTCCCTGTCACTTCTCATCTGAACATCTGCATTGCCTGTTGCATGTTTCTGCTCATTTATCTCTGGAACTTTTATACCATATGAACCAGCAATGGAAGGCTTTTCAGCAAAATTAGTTCCAGTGGTTTTGAATGGTTCTACGGTATCCTTCATATTCTTCACAGGGTATTTTTCTGGAGAATCCTTAAAATTTAGCAGGAAATCATCATCGTCATAATCTAATTCAGGTGCACCATGTTCCACTCCTTTGGAGGAATTAGGACGTGAAGAGGGGAAATCAGCCAGTGCAAGTGCCCTGGGGTGTATGAGCACCTCCAAACATTAAAAGAGCATGTGCACAGAATCCAGCAATCTTTGTTCCAGCTTCTTGCTTTCCTGCACAATCGAGCAAGCAAAGAGAACCACAAAAAATTAGTGCAATATTACATCATCTACTTCCCCATAAAATTGGTGGATCTCAAAGCAAAGAAGGCACCTACATGACACCCATGTTTGCCATCCACAGAAGACAGAACTAGTTGGTCAAATGAAAGATACCCCTTGAATCACCGACCAATTATAGCTAGGACACTTAACAACCAGCATTTACATCAGGTCATCTTCAGTATTTACCATTAGGAAAGATTTGGTAGGTCACCTAAAATTCTTCTTTTGAAAAGCATGCTAAGCTTACAAAGTTACAATTATCCTAATAATACATGGACAGTACTCATATTTTCAAATGATAAGAGAAATGAGGTATGTTGCAGGGAGAAATGGTTACCTCTACGAAAAAGATCAAGACCTTGGGATAAATATGGTGGACGGAAATGAGCTGGGGCAAGAAGTGATGCCAAGAGGGCACATAATACTGCAAGCTGAAAATCTGCCAAAATGGAGCTTGATTCATGGGACATGAAAATGTCATTTTCCTCATTTGCCCACTCCTCTTTACAAGAATCTGTTGCTATCATTATCAAAAGATTATCAATGGTAGATCGCCAACTCTCAGATCCTAAAGCACCTCCCTGTGAAACATTAAAATACTACATTCAATATTCAAGAATAATGTGCAACTAAACTTGGCTAGGACATTCATAACATACTTATATGCCATAATTTATAAGATTTTAAGGCACAATGTGTATATGGGGATGTCATATGTCTCAATGCACCCAATCTGGTATGGTAATTGTTGATTAAAGATAATGAAGCAAAAGCATTAACAGGCCCTAAAAATTCAAAAAGCATGCCATATGCAATCATCGTGGTTGTGAGAGATGTGAGACAATACTTTATTCTCAGCATGGTTATAAACAAATGACAGGAGAAAAAAAAAAATTGAAAACAAACAAATGCAGATTGCATATCACCATAAGAAGAGCTTCTAAAGCCTCAAGGGCAGCCATCTTTAAAGAAATTGGAACAATTTTGTGCTTCTTGGGTGCTCCAACTTCTAAACTAGTTTTGTCTTGCTGCTCTGAAGATCCAAAACTAGCGCCGTGCTTTCTTTTCCTTTTACCTGCCTGGATACTGGTGGAGTTTGGGTTTGAGACAGATGTTCCAACATTTTCTTCAAGAACAGGATTCAGATCAATATATGCATTGTCAATGACATCCTGTGCAAGATATATTGCCATTCCTGAAAAGAAAACAACTTCGGATTAATAATGCCACAATATCTCATTTAATGCTACTGCCAACCATGAATGTAGAAAAGCCAGATTTTGACGCACTATCAACCATAGAGCTTAATTAAAAGGGGATCTCCAAGCTTCCAGAATCAAACTTAGTAGAAACTTTCTCCATGCAAAGAATATCTATGAGAGTTTAAGAGCGAGCATTTGTTGGACAAAAATGGAAAAAGAGCAAGCATTTGAGAAAACATTTCAGCCTGTAGAACTCCTACATCTAAATAACAAATCAAGTTGGCTGCCAAACAGGAAAAGTTATTATCTCATTAATATGTTGTTGTAGCTTACCAACACCCATGGATATGAGTAAAATCCTAGTGATGGAATACAGCTTTGTCCTTAATTTTGGCAGTCCACATCTCCTGAAATACTTGGTGACAAGTCTTACAACCCCCACAGCATGTGGTAACAAATGACTGCAAAGCAAAATCAAAATATAGTTGGTGAATGTATTCACTATTTCAGTTGACCAAGATGAGGCAGTTTATTAAAATAGGAGGTATTTCAATGATCTCTACTATAAAAGCTTATCATTGACCCATACATGCTTCTGAAATTGGAAAAGAAAATAATTTTACACAAACAAGTGAGGTGAATTGCTTCCTAGAAGAGGTACAAAACATACTTTGCTATATCAAATAGAAATTAGAAGTTGGCATATTGCCACCATAAAATGATTTCAGAAACATTCAAATGCTTAATATAATGAAATGTTGTTTAGTATTGAGAGTACAAATTATACGAATATATAAATAGCACATTTAAAAAATGATGTATATATGCTAAAAGCTGCAAAGAATAACAGTTAATGCATGCAGCTTCCTCCTATAAGATAAAGGAGAAACAATATAGAAAAAGTGAAAACTAATGATTCACCTGCGCATTCCCTTGATGACTACAATGAGGAGGTCCAAACTGTGCATATGCAAAACTGGAAGCTCTGAACAAATTAACTCCTGTTGCATGGAACTCAGGAAGGGCAACATGGTTTGTGGACAAGAACCGTCCACCATCAGCACCCTTTCAATAACAGCTAACAACAAGCGAATTGGAACAGTGACCTGGTAGTCAAAAGAAAATAAAATATATGGTGTAAAACAGAAGACCTTTTTTGCATCCATAATTTGAACCAGAACACCAATAAAAGTTTGGAGACCATAGTGTAATGACAAACTCATTATGTACATCCAGTTTTCTATTTGACATGAAAATATCTTTGAAATGCTACAAATTCTTGAACAAATACCTGAACAGGGTATGAACTTGTAAGTAGTTTACAACAACAAATCATCAGAGTTGAGATACTAGACATAAGCAACTGATCAGACCTCTTTATTTTCTTGTCTAAGGCTCCTGTTAATGATGTATGACCTCCCAATGAAGGTGGGGGATCTTTTCCCACTGGAACCGACAATCTCCTAACTTCAGCAGATTTAGCTTCTGCAACACACATAAACAAATTTATTATTTATTCCTTAAGACAGGGAGTGGTGCATCCACATTTGTCTCAGAATATAACTTCTTCTAAGCCTTGGAAGACATCATTCAGATGGTCATTTATCAAAACCAAAATCTTCTGCACGGTAAAGGACCAGCTATCCCCATCTCCTTTTGTTTTTGGGAGAAATGCTAGGCAATAACCAAGTTTCTAAAAAATAAACAACAAGCAGGAAGAAAAAAAGTGCTTATACTTAAGAACAGAAGTTGTCCACATCATTAACAGCGGCATCCAAGCTAGGTTCAATGAAACATGTTACCTTCAACATTTTAGGGCTGCATTTCCCAGACAAAATTTCTGAAGCAACAGCAGCTTCAGCCTGCAGAAATAAATTTATACCAAAAAAATTGAAAATTTGTTAACAATCCAAATCTAATGGTTTGTGGCAAGTGGCCCATTAACTTAAGATATGTTTCCACATTAATGTTTTTAATACCAAAGATACCACATCGCAAGAGATTCAAAAAACACATTATTAAGTTTCGTCTCAACATTACGGCTAGAGGAATCCTCATATAACCATCAGTTAGATTAACATGCATGCAAACATAGCAAGGATATTGATTTCTAGTCAACCAAAGTTACGGATGCTTTAATAAAAAAAAAAAAAAATGAAAAGAACTCGTCAATTCCATAATTATAAAGCACAGTAAGTTATGTATCATAGTGAGTCTCCATCCTCTCCCACTTCCATTGCAACAAAAATGGGTTAAGATATTGTAAGTTTTCACAATTTGGAATTTGACCATTATAACACTAACTTATACTATTTACAGTGGGAAGTCTCATAACAATTATAAACTTACCTTGTCGTAATAATTATGAATGGAAGCCGGAAAGAATGTTGTAATGGTATGTAAGAGACTGACTGCTCCATCCTGCATATCACAGAAAGGGGACATAAATGACACCTGGGAACTAAAAAGAAGGGCAGGTAGAAGAAACGAATTATGAGCATCAGTTCTGGCACACCAAGCTCAAAAACGAGGCAGGTTGTCAAGTTCATAATTTTGAATCTCTCTGCGGCTTACCCATACAGCTTGTGCATTGTCCTCATTTATGAGCTTCAAAACGGGTTGAATGAGCTTCCCAGAATGTGATTCTCATCATTCTTTACATTTGAAAACCTTCCCAATCTAATCCAGGAAAGAGAGCAGTTTTACACATGATGATACATATGATAGACAAAATTTACACTCTACAAGCCTTTTACCACTCTACCAATGTGTGTAATTAATAGATGTAGTTTGTGGATACATCTACATACATTTACATGTGTACGTCGGTAGATACCAATACTCAGTCCAGTAAATATCTAAGTACATATGCATCTACATATTGCCAAGAAAAATACCTGACCTTGTTAATAGATCTGATAACGAGGTACAAGATGCCACCTTCGCCAATTGAGACTCTGCTGGAGGCTACTCCATACAAGGATACAAGATGCCATATTAAGTTCGAACGAAAAGATCATGCTGACTGAAAAAAAAAATGGAGAAAAAGAAAAGATCAAGTTGAAAGAAGTACTACATAAATGTTTGGAACATCAAACTTGATAAAAAAAAAAAATAGTTTCAAACATATTTAAAAGCAATTCATGCTCTTGAGGATTGATTTTCACAGAATAAGAAACAACGAACATAATGCATGTAAACTTACATCTTGTACCTGAAAATGAGATAGAAGCTTTTGAAACCAGATAGAGTAGGATGACAAAAATGGAGCAGAACTGCATTCTTGACAAGTCAAAACCAGAAGACAGATTCCCACCAAGCATTTATCTGGCTAGACAAGAATGGCCTATGATGTGAAAGTATGAAACATTTTTGAGATAATCACACAAACGAATGATTCAGTGCGAGATACAAAGAGATACACGGACATAGAATTGGCATGTACCATGTTGCTAGAGACCAGCAGCAAAATACGATTCACCCAATCATCGATGGCGGAAGTCCAGCTCTTAATCAGTTTTTGATCCGTGGATTCTTGTTCGAATGATTCTGACAGGAGATTGTGAGTTTGGATGGTGGAGACAACCTTTGCCAGCTCAAAAGAGCTCTGGAGAGGCTGCTTCTCTTCCGACAGATGTTTCTTGATAAGAGTCCGCAACATTGGAGGCTTCAATTTGACGTCACACATGTCTTTGAAGTGTTCGAAAGCCGCCTTGAAGCAGAGCTATGTGGACAGTGAGGGCAGTGGGGTTTAGGGTTTTAGGAGCTACTGTAGTTCTGCTGAACTGAAACTGAAAGTGAATTGTTTCAGTGTCTGTAGCCGTTAGGACAAATATGATTTAGTTCCTGACCTTTTGAGTTGCAGTCAATTTCATCCCTCATCTTTTATATTGGTCATTTAGTCCCCAACCTTTGAATTGAAATGCAATTTTTTTCTACGCTTTCCTGGAGCTGGAACTAATTAGCAAATCACATGAAATTTACTTTTTTACCATTGTGCATAGCTCGGAAAAATCAGTTTCAACTAATTTTAATGCTAGTCTGTGACTAAAAAGTACTTTTTCATTGTTTTCTTTTTGTTTTCTTTTTTTACAATTTAAACTGTTTTAAACTATAAAATAAAAACCGTCATTAAAGAAAATTCCCAATATCAAGGGGTTGTCCTCTACCCTTATTAGACTTTTAGTATTTTACAGTCTAAAACAACTTAAATTGTAAAATGCTTTTTCATTTGGCAAAACTAATTTCTTAACTAAATGTTAGCATTTCAAAATACCTCACCTAACTAATCTCATTGGTACGTGCAAACTGTGTCCTCAAAATACTTCACATCCATAAAGAGTTATAGTTTTCTGTTATTATCATTTGCCCTTTTTTCTTTGCCTTTGTATATGGTATTAGTTGCATATGATATGAAGGGAAAAAACAGAGAATAGAACATCTCTTTCTGAATCAATACATGACAATATGAGGTGACAGATTTGAAAATTTTCTTTATTCAGAAGAACCATACTTGTTCTCCGTATTCTCAAATCCAAAAACAAACAAGAAATTAATTACTTAAGAGGAAAATCCACAACCAGAAGCGAATCAAGAGACTAAGTGAGAAATAACAAGAGGATAAGGAACTTAACAAGAAGCAGCTAATGTAGTCTTTCGAGCATGTGCTATCCCAAACTGTATAACTAATCATAACTCCATCACCTTCAGCTCTAGTTTTTTACAAGCACTAGACATAAAGGTTCCATAAGTACTCAAATACGTCTTCTCTTTGGGAGCCTGCATCCATTATGAGGGCGTCGAGTGGCATCTTCAATGCAAATAATGGGATTCTCATCTGTTCGTGAACCTGAAAAGCCCTCTCTGAAGCTGAGGATTGCTTGCCTTTTCTTCTTAAAGTAGGTAAATCCTTTCACCCTCACAACAACTGATTTCAACCCCAAATTTCTTGCTAACCGACCCACATGTTCTGCTGTTGCTTCAGCAGCATATTTAGACATTTTTGGCCCTCCTTTTAGCTCAGGTAAACACCCTGAAGAGGCTCCAAACTTTTTGTTTCCCTTGGAATCTGTCACAGTGACAAAGGTGTTATTGCGCATAAGCTTTATGTGAACAAAATCAGCATCCTGCTCAGCATTCCGTTGAGTATGTTGAAAACCCCCAAACAAGCCCCTATTGTCTTCCTCTATTATTCCCTTCACAAATTGCCTGGAATTGGTGAAACCCCTCCATGTCTCATTGTCCTTCTGACCTGAAGAATGGACAAAACTCTTGAAACTCAAAGCATAAGGAGTTGAGAAACTCTCCTTGGAGATCAAGGAATCAACACTCTTCCCCAAATTTCCGACATTCTCGGTAGAATGTGAACCTACAATCAAACTCTTTAAACAACCTGAAGAATGAAAAAGATGATATGACAATGTTACAATCATTAACATTTTAGTTCAACTAAGAATCAGCAAGTAAGGCAAAAGCTTCCCAATCTGGCAATATTCGTTTCTACAGCGGTTGACCAAAAACCTTGTTTAAACTGATTTTCTTCATGCCCATTTTCAGCACAACATCTCGGCGTCAATTAGTTCCGCGTTTACGCATATTAAAACACTAGTCTTTTTTCATACATAAGATAGGATATCTAATTGTGGTTTAGAATTCACAACTGGAAGCTCCATTTTTTATTTTTTTTTCAAAGATCTCCATTTCATGCTAATGAGTTATAAATCAAACCTATGCCTGAATTATTAAGCAAATAAAGCCATTCCAAATGGACCTAAAACCCTAAAACAAACCCCTAAATCAGTATCGCACTTTCCATTTCCATATACTCAAAACCAATTTTCCTATCAATTAACAATCAAGGAAATGAACGAAAAAGGGGAAACCTTGCCTGGGAGACCTTCAGGGAGCCACTTGAGACTGCAACAGTTTCGCAGTAGAGATGACGAGGAAGAGGAAAGACGCATGTACATTCTCTTCGACTAGGGATTTTCCTTACTGCACGCTGGGGGTTTATGCTCTTCGGCCGAAGATGCCACTTGATCTGGATTTAACTTAAAAGGCCATTCCAGCGCTGCCTCGGCTCCTTCAAGCCCAAATCCGGCAACTTTTTACGGTAAACAAATCAAGCCCAAACTTTGATTATTTTTATGGGCCCAAATGCAAAATTATAAAATACTTCTCCTTTTTCAAAGAGCGGAACCAAAGCAAGGGATACGAAAAGCAGCATCTAGTACAGCCTCACACCGCCAGTCACGGGGACAAGGCAAAGTCACTGCCTTTTCTCTCCATTTGACTTTATTCTGGGTAGAAGAAATGTCTTCAAGAAACAAGGTGGGCATGCTATTGAAATTTGAGCCAAAAGGCAGACACAATGAAGAGAATTAAAGCAGGGAATGGATAGATGAATGAGTAGAAGCAAGCAGTTTGCAGTGAGTAAAAGGAAACTATTTTGATGCCCCAGTGGTCCACCCCTTCCGCAATTCATGCATTGATGCTGAATATTTGTTCCCAACTTTAAAGATCATTTCTTTCTTTTTCTTGGTGGGTTTGATTTGATTTGATTACATTCTTCTCCATTTGGGGATTTCACTTTCATTCCAAAGCTCTCACCTTTGGCTTCAATGGCTGAATGTAGGACTAAAACCCACTTCCTCCTCTTCTTGTTCTGTGTGTTCCTCTGTTTCTTCAAGGGCAAGTCATCGTGGGTCATCAATGAGGAAGATAATGAACATGATATGGTCCAAACCCGGCGGGATTCAACTGGGAGCTGTGATTTATCTGATGGCAAATGGGTATTCGATCAAACGTATCCTCTGTATGACTCTAACTGCCCGTATCTGAGTTCTGCAGTTACTTGTCAAAGAAATGGAAGGCCCGATTCTGACTATGAGAAGTGGAGATGGAAACCTAATGGGTGTTCTCTTGCAAGGTAAGTCAGTGACGCTGATACTATAGCTGTAAATGTAATAGTATGAGAAATCATTTCATAATGATCATTTTCAAGCTCACTGTGAATTATCTGTTGAGGGGATTTAGAATTTACTTCTTCAAATGCTATTACTATTGATGTAGCAATAATGAGCATTTTCAAACTTCATGTGATTTTAGCTTTCAATTTAAGCCATTCAGAAATGTTGCAACAGTTTTCTACTGCCCTGCTTTTATGTTTCAGGTTTGATGCATTGAAATTTCTTGGTAAGATGAGAAAGAAAAGGATAATGCTGGTGGGTGATTCAATTATGAGGAACCAATGGGAGAGTCTTGTGTGCTTGGTGCAAGGAGTCGTCCCAACTGGACATAAGAAGGTGACCTATAATGGTCCTTCGATGGCCTTCCATGCACTGGTAAGATATCTATGTTTGCTTCAAGAAACATGATTGCATGTGAGTGTGCTGGTGTGTGTGGTATATGCAAGGTTGAAAATATATTTGGAAGATTCTAATGCCTGAATTACAGTCTCTTTCGTTGCTCTCAAGTAACTAGTACTTTGATGTTTTTTCTTGGGAAATCATAGTAGTGTATGCTGTTAACAGGATTTTGAGACATCCATTGAATTTTTTTGGGCTCCACTCCTTGTGGAACTGAAGAAAGGGCCTGAAAATAAGAGAATCCTCCATTTGGATTTGATTGAAGAGAATGCGAGATATTGGAGAGGAGTTGATGTTCTTGTGTTTGATTCAGCACACTGGTGGATTCACTCTGAAAAATGGAGTTCGTAAGACATCTGACAATCACACTCTTTCACATTGCTTATGGTTTTCATCCATGCCCGTAGCTGTCTGCATATCCTGCATTGTTCTTTATGAAGATAAGGAAATAAACAATTTTCAGCATAAGAAATTGTTAATGGAAATTGTGACATTTCAAACTGCACCCTGAAGCATGTATAACTAATCTTATCTCTGTGATTCATTGAGACTTCAAGAGTGCTTGCAGTGGTACTTTGTTGTAGAATTGTATTCCATACCTAATTAGAGATACCAATGAACTGAGTATAAAGCCTATGATCCTAACTGAAAAGTTATTTATCAATGCAGGTGGGATTATTATATGGAAGGACAATCACTCTATAAAACTATGAATCCAATGCTTGCATACCAGAAAGGACTCACTACATGGGCAAAATGGATAGATTTAAATCTTGACCCTCACCAGACCAGAGTAATTTTCCGAAGCATGTCACCTAAACATAACAGGTATCAATGAATCGTGCTCTTATGTCATTTTTCCATTAGTTGTCAAAAATCATTTCTTAACATAGCAGATTTTTCTTGTAGAGAAAATGGCTGGAAATGCTACAACCAGAAAACTCCCTTGGCTTTTTTTAATCGCCCCAATGTTCCTCAACAATTATTGGTGCTAAAAGGAGTGTTGAGAAGAATGAGATTTCCAGTATATCTCCATGACATTACAGCAATGTCAGCTTTTCGTAGAGATGCACACCCATCTGTGTATAGAAGAGTTTTAGACCAAGATAAGAGGCAGCATCCAGGATCTCTTTCCTCTGACTGCAGCCACTGGTGCCTCCCTGGAGTCCCTGATATTTGGAATGAGATGTTGAGTGCCCTGCTCTAGGTGAAAATCTCATAGACTAAAGAGAACTGTTCCACTAGATGTAGGCTTTGTTGCATCTCATGGTTTGTGTGTTCAGCTGGTTGATGTACTATAATGTTGTCAAAGAATTATGGTATGTTTCGCATGTGAAAATGCTGTGATTCAAGCGTCCTTGAATAGCTTTAGATTGTTCTACATCTGTAAACTTGAGCCTTGAGGTATATTCAGTAGCACTCATGTTCTTAATTTGGAAATTTACCTTCTGAAATTGTTCCCATATTTGTCTCTAACTTTAGAACCTATGTTATGATACAAAAGCTAATAATTCACATTGCTTCACCAATGAAACCCTGCACATTAAAGGTAGTGGTCATGATACTGGGTTATGATTTTGAACAACCCTTTCCAGGATGTCTTTGGCAGCAGACAGAACTCTTGATTTTCACTCAAACTCGATAGCTCTTACCTTCCTAATGATGGTGTTGACTAATTTCACTGTCTATTTTCACCATCATTACTGTGTTCTAATAACAGCAGGAGGGGATCGGAGGAGGTTCCTTTTTTCTACTGCAAAATAACACAGCTTTACTTTTCTGAGATGGAAGATCTAAGAAATGAAGAAGTTTAACCATCTTATTAGCCATTACCTCTAAAATTGTTTTTGACACATTTAGGATGAATAGCATGTCTTTAGCAATTGCTGCCATACTCATCTAAGTTTCTAAGAGAGAAATTAGCCTCACCATTTAACTAAACTCGTGGGGAGAAAGCTTCCTCCTCAACTGGGCAATCTCTGTAGAACTCAATCCAAAAGCCTTGTGCAAAAGCTCTTCTTTGATCCCAGAACCAAAAACAGCATATGGAATCCTCTGCAGTCCTGGGTTCTGGCTATTAAAAACTCCCCCAGATAGTTGCAGGTGTATCTCCAACATTCATTTGGAAGTGCATGCACAAGACCCCTGGGAAACACCATGACCTCACCCTTCCCGATCACTTTAGCAAAAATCTTGTTATCTGTATCAACGAATCCTGAATAAATTCTCCCTTCAAGCACAAATGCTACCTCAGTTGCTCTTGGATGGAACTGAGGCACGTTGACACCACCAACATCAAAATCAGCTCTTACAAATGACATACCTAGTGTGTTCAGGCCTGGAAACACTTTCACATTCACTGACTCGGCTGAGAAACCCATCTCGCTGACCTTTCCAGGGAACTTTATGCCAGAAAACACAAAATCTTCAACCATTGCAGCTGATGAGTTTTTGCATTGGAGGGTGTTGGTTGCAGATGCTGTGTCAGCTACACAGAAGTCTCGAATGGGATCTAGACCAGAAGCTGAGGCGATAATAGCAAAGCCATGGAGGAATATAACCAACAGAACTGGTAACTTCAAAGGCATTTTTC